AAATAGTTTTTTAAATTAAACTACACAGGCAATTAATCTTCCAGTATACACAACAGAAAAAGAGAAAATGCATTCAGGAAGAATTCAAGGCATAAGTTATTTAATAAAGGAAAACAACATATAAGAGTACTCAGTGGAAAGGACTTACCTATACTGCCCCTCCCCTATCCACAGTTGGCTTCCCATGGTTTCACTTACCCATGAGCAGTCTCCTAAGACTAAATAAAAATGACTCCAGAGCTAAACAACTTGTGAGTTTTATATTCCACACCATTCTGAGAAACATGATGAAATCTGTCACTGTCCCACTCTGGCCTGCTGGGACATGATTAATCCCTCTGTGCAAGATATCCACTCTGTATACACTACCTACCCATTAGTAGCTTAGCAGCCAGCTCAGTTATCAGATCAACTGATGAGGCATCATATGCTTACATTCAAATAACCCTTATCTTACTTAATAATGGCCTCACAAGAATAGCGACCATATTATTACAGTATATTGCCATAATTATTCTATGTTATTGATGTTATTATTATACCTAATTTATAAATTAAACCTTATGACAGGTATGTATATAGGGGGGAAAAGACATAGTATGCAAGAGTTTGGTACTACCCATGGTTTTGGGCATCCATTGGGGGTCCTAGAACACATCCCCATAGATAGAGGGGAACTACTGCAGATATTCTTCAATTTATAATGAAGTCATGTTCTGGTAAACCTATCATAACCTTTTAAAACATCATAAATCAAAAATACATTGAATATGCCTAACCCTCAAATATCCTGGCTTAGCAACATGGCAAATACAGAGCATGGGATGCTTCCCCTTGTGATCATGTCACTGACTGAAAGCTGAGCCTCACACCACTGCCCACATCAAAAAAAAGATCAGACCACATGTCACTAGCCCAGGAAAAAGATTCAGTTTCAAAATTTTAATATGGTTTCTGCTGAATGAATATTGCTTTCACAGCATTGTAAGACTGAAAAATTGTAAGCCACACCGTGGTTAAGCCAGGGACCTTCTGCACCCACAGTACCACAAGAACACACAGACACGATCAGAACAACTGGGCCTCAACCCCTCTCCCACTTACTAACGAAGTACCATGCGAAAGTTATTTTAACTTCTTGAGTCTCTAAACCACATATTTCTCAATTATAAAATCTGGACATAGACAAGAAAAAGGGGACTTGAGCAACACTTTAAGCCAACAAGATGTAACATATATAGAATATTCTATCCAAAAACAGAAAACAAATTCTTTTCAACATCACATGGTGGTTTCTCCAGGAAAGGTCACATGTTAGGCCATAATTCATTTTAAAATTTAAAAGGGCAGCTTCTGAATAGTTAACAACAAAATTAAAAGCAACCTAAGAATGGGGAAAAAAATATTGTCAAACCATATATCTAGTAAGAGGTTACAAGGAAGTCATACAATTTGATAGCAAAATAAAAAATAATAATCTGATTAAAATATATACAAAGAAACCGAATATGTATTTCTCAAAAAAAGACATATAAATGGCCAATGGGTACACGAAAAGGTGTTCAACATAACTAATGGTGAAAAAATTAAAATCACAATGAGCTATGACCTCATAATTGAGAAGATGCTAGGGCTATTATCAAAACAGCAAAAGAAAACAAATGTTACAGGATATGTAAATCAACAAACCATTATGGATAACATCATGAAAGTTGCCTAAAATAAAAATGTAACACCCAAAAATCTAGCCATCCCACTTCTGGATACACATAAAATGGAAACTAAATCAACAGGTGGAAGAGATATCTGCACTCTCATTTTCATTACATATTATTCACAATACTCAGGACATGGGAACAACCTAAGTGTCTATTAATGGATGGAAAAAGAAAACAGGTAGATACAGACAGATAGAATTCAGCCATACAAAAAAAAAAGAGAGAAAGAAAATCCTGTCCTTTGTGACAAGATAGATGATCCCCAACTGCATTATACTAGGTGTAATAAGTCAAAGAGAGAAAGAGAAGACGTTATAATCTCACTTACATGTGCAACATAAAAGACTTCAAATTCACAAAAACAGACTGCAAAATGTGGCTACCAGGGGTTGGGAGGTGGAGGAGAGTAGACTTTTAATGTACTCACCACACACACACAAAAAAAAATCATAATTAGGTAAAGTGACAGACATTTTAACTAATTTGATTGTGATAGTCATTGCATGACACATATACCTATCAAATCATTACGATGCACATCTTAAATCTGTATGATTTTGTTCATCAATAATGCCTCAATAAAGATAAGAGAGAAAACACATTTTGAAAACAAAAAGATCTGAAATCAATAGTCTCTCTTCCAACTTAAGAAACAGAAACACAGTAGACTTAAAGCAAGAAAAAAGACATAAATAATAAAAATTAGAGTAGAAAGATATGGAAAAGCAAAAGAAAAAATCATCAAAACCAAAGTTTTGAAAAGATCAACAAAAAACGGCAAATCTTTAGCTAAACTATGTTTTCTCTGATATAGGGAGGCTGACTCATAGTGGGGTAGGGAGGGGGAGCATGGGAGGAACAGACAGACTCTAGATAGGGCAGAGGGGTGGGAGGGGAAGAGAGAGGGCAGGGCGTTAGCAATGATGGTGGAATGTGATGGGCATCATTATCCAAAGTACACGTATGTAGATATGAATTGGCATGAACATACTTTACATACAAGCAGAGATATGAAAAATTGTGCTCTATATGTGTAATAAGAATTGTAATGCATTCCACTGTCATATATTTAAAAAATAAAATCAATTTATAAATAAATAAACAAACAAACAAATAAATAAATGAATCAAGAATGAAAGAAGAGGTATTACTATCAAACTGACAAGTCAGAAAGATTATAAGGGACTATTATGAATAATTGTACACCAAAAAACTAGATAATCTAGATGAAATTTCTATAGAAATTTTCCTAGAAAGACACAAACTACTAAATTCCAGAATAGAAGATGTACATACACCTCTACCCTGTAGAGAGACCGAATTAGCAATCAAACCCCCCCAGTGGAAGCCAGGCAATCTCGGCTAATCAGGAGGCTGAGACGGAAGGACTCTAAGTTCAAGACCAGTCTCCGCAACTCAGGGAGAACCTGTCTCAAAATAAAAAATAAAAAGGCACTTTACTCAGTAGTAAAGTACTCCAGGGAGGTACCAAAGCAGGGTAAGGAAGGATTTCTCAGTGGAAAGGAAAACACACAAACGAAAGGCCTAAATGACTTTACTAGTGAATTCTAACAAAAACTTTAAAAATCAAAACTAATACTTCAAAATTCTTCCAAAACAGAAAAGAGAATGAGAAACTTCCCGAGCCATTCTATAAGGCCACTATTACCTTGACACCAAAACCAGAGACATCAGAGAAAAGAATTTAGACCAATATCCTATGACTATAGACACAAATATCTTCAGAAAAATAGTAGCAAACCAAATCTAGCAGCATATTATATTAAAAGGATTATGCAACATAATCCAAAAGATTTATCCCAGGTATTCAACCATCAGTACAAAAAGCCATATTGGTAGAATACATTTTTTTAAAACAATGCAGAAAAAGCATTTTACAAAATTTACAAAATTCATTTTGTGATTTAGAAATTCAACAAACTAAGAATAGAACAAACCTCCTTTTCCTAATGAAACTATCAAGGAAAAAAAGAGCTACTGTAATAATGGTAAAAACCGGATGCTTCGCTTCCCCACCCCCACCCCCCCGTAAGATCAGGAAGAAGACAAGGATACAGGATGTACACTCTTAGTATTTCTATTTAACATTGTACTGGAGATTTAGACAGGGCAATTAAACAAAAAATGAAACATAAGGCACCCAGATTGAAAAGAAAGAAATAGAACTCTCTCCACTCTCAGACTGACATTATCATATATAGACACACACATCCCTAAAGAATCCCCTAAAAAAATATTAGATCAATAAATGGATTTAGAAAGGTTGTATACAGGATACAAAACCAGGAACAGCTGCATTTATAAATTAGCAATGAACATTTGAAAATAAAGAAAATAATACACTTATAATAGTATTAAAAAGAATAAAATACTTATAAATAAAAGTAGTCAAGGAGGTATAATACTTGTACACTAAAACTACAAAACATTGTTGAAAGAAATGTAAAGATTTAAATAAATGGAATGCCACCCATGCTTATGAATTGAAGGTATAATATTTTAAGAGAGCACCCAAACTGATCTATATAGACCCAACACAATCATTATTAAAATTTCAAATTCCTTTTCTGAAGAAACAGACAAACAGTCCTAGAATTCTTAAGGAGCTAAGAGGGATCCTGAAAAGCCAAACCAATCTTGAAAAAGAAGAGCAAAGCTGGAGCACTGCACTCCCCCTTCACTACAAAGCTGTGGCCCTTCAACAGACAGCAGCGTCATGAGGACAGACACAGACCAACGGGTGAGTGCCCAAACCATTCAACGGGGGAGAGTAGACGAGATGACTAGAAGCCAGATGCAAAAGAATGAATTCAGAAACCCTCCCTCACACCATGCGCGAAAACTAATTCAAAATGGATAACCTCCAAAACCTTCAAGGTCCTTAGTAATCAAAGAAATGCACATCAAAATCACAGTGAAGCACCAGTTCACACCCAGTAGGGCGGCTGTAATTAAAACTATGACAGTCAATAAATGCTGTCAAGGGTGTGAAGAAACTGGGTTCCTCCTATATCACTGATGAGAAAGTAAATGGGGCGACTGCAGTGGAAAGTACCTTGACAGTCCTCAAAAGTCTACACACAGCATGACCACAGGTCCCAGCAATCCCTTTCCTTGACGTAGTCGCAAGGGAAATGAAAACACCCGCCCACACAGCGACCTGCAGAGAAGCGCACAGGCCCACAGTCACCACAGCCAAACGGGAATGCCCACCAGCGAGGAACACAGAGCAGAACCGCCACAGACCCGCGCATCACTCACCCTGGAAGGAGCCAAGTTCTGACACACGAGACAACATGGCCAGTCCAGGCAACCTTACGCTGTGTGGAAAATCAGACAGCAGGCCAAAGCTTCTCCTTGAAAAAATGACAGGGTACGTACAGCCGGGAAGGCGTGGGGTCCCAGAAGCCCAGAGAAGGGCCACCAACCCACACAGAGCCTCGAGGAGCTCCCACAGTGGACAGGCCCCAGTAACCTGCAGGAGAGAGACAGGCAGACACCCGCCAGGGGCTTCCCAGGCACAGGTGGCTTTACCTTCCACAGATTGCTGCTGCCCCAGCAGCCGGAAGGTCCTGAGAGAAGGAGAGGCCTGTGGGGCTACTGCAGTGAGGAGAGGGGGCAGACCACCAGGAAGGGAGGGGGTCCTGAGTGGACGGCGATGTCCGTCACCAGGACCCGTGAGGAGGGGATGCACCCAGAACACACCTACAAGTAACTCTGTGAAATTCTATCTGCCTTATTATCCTTTATCCATTCCTTACTCATAAAAGAAATAAAAAATGTAGAATTATTTTCTATTCATGTCTTGTGTTAAGAAGAAAATCTTAATAAGTAAATCTGAATAAAGATGGGACTCACAGCTTTGTCAAGAGCCAGCCTCAAAGCTCTTCCCTGCTAACCAGGAGGCTTCCCTCTGCCGTACACACGAGACAGAAGAAAGAAGCCATGTTCTGAGTTCATCATGTTCAACCCGAGGCAGGCACCCAAAGGCTCCAGGTTGGTGACTAAAGATCTGGGTTCCCTGGGAGCTGCACTCTTCACAGACCAGCAGGGGAGGTCCTGGGGACATAAATGGCATCTCTCTGGGCAGGACTCTAGGCCTTGCCCACCCGACCCACAGCAGGCACCAGGAGGCACTGGAGGCCCTGGCACGTGGGAGATGCTGAATCTTCCTGTCCCACAGAAACCTTCTTCCTCTTTTTTTACTCAAAGCAGAGTTTGGAACACAAGCAGCAGCTTGAGATGTGATTGTTTAGGACTGGCCAGCTCACTCCTGCTTCCTCTGAGTGGGGAGAGGTAGACGTGCCCACCTCGAGAAACACCACCAAGGCGCCATCAATGCTGATGCCACCAGTACTGACTGCTCTCCTGAGCGCCAGTTTCAGGGGCTGGATTCCCTTAGCTTCTCTCCTATGCCACTGACAGTACCTAGCAGAACTTCCTAACTCCTCAACAACTGCATCCTCTCAAGCACCCTGGGAGCAGGCCTGAGGGACTTATTAACCAAACATTTTTTTGTCTGGAGTCTCTGCTTGTTAACATTGTTGACAGATCATCAATAAGCCAGCCTGTTTAGAAATGCCAGTCTGAATATTCCCAGGAAAGAGCACCTGGATTATCAGTGTGGCTGACGATTCCTAAGACGGGGCCTGGACCGCCACACACTGGGCCTCTTCACAAGAGGCTGGCTGTTGTCCCTCTTCATATGAAAATAGTTTCGTGGGGATTTTTCTAACTCTCGTCAGCGGTTCCTCTGTGCTATATATTTTCTTTGTCGTCCATGGGGACCTAATTACAGTGCCTGGATGGCTGCTCTAGTCCACACGCCTGTAGCATCTCGATCAGCCAGAGAGAGAGTCCTGGACACCAGACAAGCTGGGTCTCACTTCACACCCTGACTGCGAACATGAAGGGCTCTGAATGATTTGAGGCTCTGCAAGTTGAACCCCTGCTCCAGGTTCATGCTATCATTTTGGAAATGCTTTAAAATTATATATGGTAATTTATTAATCAAGTTTAACAATAGCCTCCTTTCACTGTCTCCTACATCATCTTCAGTAGGTATATTCTCTGACTTAATCTGCATATTTGTCCTCATTTTTAAGATAAGCAAAGTGAGGTTTGGAGAAGGAACATCATTAGCTCCAGGTACTTTCTCTGATGGGTGCTAGAGCTGGGGGCAACACACCCGTGTCTGACAACAAGCTCGAGTTTTTATATCACCGGACCCTAATGGCTCCTTGCATTCATTCATTCATCTACCAGCCAGGTGCTGGAGCAACCCTAGAGGGGTGGGGAGAGGGAATTCAAAGAGGCCACCTCACTGGAAGGTCTACAACTGGACAATTACTGGGTTTTTCCAGGATTCTGCTGGGCCATGTGACAGAGCTGGCATCTCCACATGGAGAGCACATGGGCACTGACGGAGCCCTACCCCCCGCACACAGCTGCCCTTACCATCTCCAGTCTTGCTTGGGTTGGGAGCATCTGGAGTACTCAGGGGCCTAAGGGGAATGATGATATCATCCACACGGACCCCTTCATCCCCGTGTTTCTCAGACACATGGGAGAGGAGCTCCGACTGATTTGGCGAGAAGAGATTACAGCATTTGCACATGAAGATGGCCGTGCTTTCTGTAAGAGAAAAAAGGAAAATGTTTTATTTTGCCTTCACATACACGATTACTCCCAATGGGTGGAGAAAATGCCAGGGGCTGCCATGCCATGCAAATGCCAGCCTCCAGTGAGTCTCCCTCTCATCTCGGGTTCTTCCTGCTGGGTCTAGGAACCTCAGCCCTCATCAGAGTGGCTGATGTGGACCTCCTTCTGCCCAGACACCAGCCCATGGAACCTGAAAAGTTCAATCCTGTCCTCAAAGAGTCCACCACACTCATGCAATTAAGCATCTTAGTCTTCCCACCAGACTCACTGTCTCTCTTGAATTAAGCTAAAAGGAAAAATTGGCCAAAACAGCATTTCTCTAGAGCCAAGACACCTTTCAATGACTGGCTCAGGAACTAAAAATCAAAACAAGGAGGATAGAAATCTGCGGCTTTTTTAAAGCCACTTAATTCCTACTTAAACATTCTCACTGTTCACAAAACAGTGCACAGTCCATTATATTCCTCCCCGTATACTAGGCAGCAAGACATAATGAGGGAAAAAACACTCATCTTCAAATCTGATAAAATAATTATAGGTGCATAATTCAAAGCTGGCTTTTCTGTTATCACACTTACACTGAAAGGAAGAGTCGACATGATGAGAAGGCCAAGAGCTGTGAAGCCAGACAGACCCAGCTGAGATTCCTGAGCCAGTCCCTAGATGCGGTGAGGCCAGGCGACCTGGGAGAAGCAGCAGTAATCCCTCTGTGGGGAATTACACAGGCAGAGCAGCAGGGACACCGTGGGCACACCGGGAACAGCGCCACAGGCCCAGCCCACCTCTCCACGTGCTGTGCCTGTGCCCATGCAGCAACCGCCAGAAACCTCTACCACTGCCTTCCCCTGACCTCCAGGGCACTCGGCCTGCTAGGCAATTCCCAGGATCTCTATGCCATCCCTCTGCCACGGCTGGGCAAGCAGCTGGCCATCTCGGATCTCTGGGACCCGCAAGCTCCGCCTGTGGCAAGCAAGGCTCTCCCCCCTCCCCCGCTCCCCTTCTCAACAGCAGGATGCCTGCTCTGTCACTTCAGCAGCCAGAGATCAGCTTCCCCTGCCCACCTGCCTCTTCCCCCTCCCCCGCTCCCCTTCTCAACAGCAGGGTGCCTGCTTTGTCACTTCAGCAGCCAGAGATCAGCTTCCCCTGCCCACCTGCCTCTTCCCCATCCCCCAGCCTCGCTGCTTTTGGGTGAGGGTCTGCACAAGCCGTGGCCCCACGGTGGGATGTGGTGGCAGCCCCCACCCAGGGCAGGGCCTAGTCTCCACTGACAGTGCTCACGGGGACAGCGAGAGCAGAGCAACATGGAACTGGCATGATGTGCTAAACTCCTCTACAGACAGCACACCCTTCCTGCTCCCCCCCAGAAACACTGCTGGACAAGGGCACACGCCGGCCAGTGTGTGCAGAACTCAGCCCTTGTCCCACGGGACACTGCTCCCATGGCTTCCGCTTCCTCCCAAGGTCAGTGGTCCTGTCCTCTGGGCCAGCTCTCCTGCTGGCCTGCAAGCATGCCCATTTCATGTTGGAACCAAAGGCTCTGGAGACCGCTTCCCCAGGCTCTCTGCCCACCTTTCTCCTTTTGGCAAAACTCCACCACAAGAAAGAGAAGAAGGAAAGGCACAGACCACCGTGCCCCGCTGGGGTGAAGACAAAACTGCTGAGGCGCCGGGGGGCGGGGAGCCCCTCTCTACAGCCACACGAAGGCCTTCCCGGGAACACACAGGGAAGGAGAGCCTCAGATGATTCTTCCCTATTGAACAACAACTGTCCCACAGGAACAGCCAATTCATATCTTATTTTTTCCAAGAAATGTTTTCTTTCCCAAGGAACCCCAAAATGCTTCCCAAACAAGAAGGTCATGGCAGTACTTGTCTGCATACAGGAGACATCGTCTTCAGGGTGCTTCCTGCCACACCTCCATCAGTCCTGATTTAAGCAGAAAGGGGTTTGTCCTCTTCAGCCCACAGATGAGGAAACTGAGGCTGGGAGGGGAGAAGTCAATTTCTTGTCACAGCGACAGGGTGCAGAGGGCAGATGCTTTGCAACCTGGTTTGACAGATATATTTGGCTACAGAACTATAAGCAGACTCTAAGTATTTTAGCTGAGTTCAAGCTAAGTGTTCTAGTGTTCTGAAAAGAAACCCTGAATAGAGAAGAATATGAGCCCTCCTCACAGATCAACCCCACACCTGCTCCATGAAGCATCTACTGAGCAAGACTCCAAGCCCTGCCCTAGGAGCTGGGGACATAGGGATGAACCTAGGCCCAGGCCCTGCCTAAGAGAGGCCATCTCACCTGGGAAAGAGATGTGTCACAGAACTGCACCTAATGGTTTGTACTAAAATTGTCTCCCAACTGGCCTCCAAGTTTTCCTGGCTCCTCAACTGCTCTCAGGAGGAAGGGAATTTTCTAACATTTAACAGAGAAATTCCAGGGACCCAAGAGCTATCATGAGGGTCTCCAAGTTCAGAGGCACACTGAGCGTTGACCAGAAATTAAATAAACACTTTTGCATCTACTTACGACCAGGTTTCAGAGACTGCTGTGAATAAGCTAACACCCAGCAGATCCACAGCCTGAGGCCTGGGCAGCCCAGGGTGGTGTCTGCCTGAGCCATCTGTTATCAATTAACATGAGTTTCCCTGCACCCAGCAAGTCCAGTCCTGTAAGGCAGGGGACAGGTCTCGAGTTCCCAGGTGGAGACAGAGATGAGCACTGGGACCTAGGATGACCCTCGTATATTGGGCTTAGACCTGAGACGTGGGCCATGAGATGGTGTGCCATGGAAGAGTCGTGGGTGGGAAAGGGTGCTGGGAGCAGGACAGGCTTCTCAGCCAGGGGACTGTGGAGTTCTGAGCTGCAGGACGCAGATGTGCGGACCAGGGAGGAAGCAACAGCTGCATGGAGTCAGGAACGGGGGAAATGAGCAGATCTACTGCTGGCACAGGGGCCTGTGCCCACTCAAGCAGAGCTCCCAGGGCCAAGCACAGCCAGCACAGCAGGAGAGGCAGCTCCTGGAAGGGCTGGGAGTCCACCATCAGAGCAAAGACAGAGGCGGCCTTGGTTGAGAGGGCCAGCCTCCTGCTTGAAGCCAGTTCTGCAGCTCCGCACACCAGAGCCATGGCAGCTCTCTATGCCTGCCCTCCTGGAGCCTGCAAAGCCCACCACTCCAGTGCCCCTGGAATTTGAAGGCCTTGGTCACATTGGCACACCCAAAATAGCCAGCTGCCTGGGCTGAAGAAGAGAGGAGTTCTCTGGCACACTGAGGGGGAGACTGCAGTCAGGGAGGCCTGTCCAGGGCTGAGAGCAGAGATAAAGACCAAGATGCAGTAGGGCCCAGCAGGCAGGACATCACCCCGAGCTGACATGTGCAGCACAAGATGAGCCTGGGCAACAGGCTGTTTGCTACCAACACTATACTCTCCTCTGCAAAAACAGATGTCCCATTACCCAGGGCAAAGTACACGGCGCACCCTCTTCAGACAAGGGCCCAACGTGGAGGGCAACGGTGTGCCCCTTGGAGACATGCTAAAGTAGTGTGTCTACAGCAGAATGCCAGGCACACAGAGGGTGCATTCCCCAAGTATTAAGAGTGTTAAGTTGCCAAAATAGCAACCAAGGCGCCACTTCTATTTTTTATAGTGGACTAATATGAAAAAATATATCTGTGCCCTGAAATACAATCATAATTATGTTGTCAGCTAATTCTGATGAAGATGCTATAATTTGGATACATTTCTAGGTCCAATTACTGTGCTCTCATGCTTAACAAAAGAATTCAAGGGGAAAATGACGTACTCAGAACAAGAACAATCACAGTGGTTTGGGTCTGGGCATGCGATTGCTATGAATTATCTATTATCAAGCAGCTACTCTGCACTATAGAAAGGAAAACTTTAAGTGCATTAACTGGTCCTTGCTTCTGGTCTCTGATCTGAGGAACAGCCAGGTCCGATCTGGATCTCTGGCCTCTCTGCCTGCCCAGGGGGCCCAGGGATGAATAAGGGCTCTGCCGCACCCTTCCCAGAAG